GATAGCCCAAGGTGAAACAGCTGTGGATCTGAGTCTCGGTGGACAGGGTATGTGACTTTGTGGATGGTTTCAGCTTCAGGTTAGGAGTGGAAATAAAAGTGATATTGGGCTGTGAAAGTGGGCTTTTATAGAACTTTGAGAGAAGGCAATCTTGCAGTGATGATTTGGAGATGGAAATAATTTTGGAGATGAACTGTGAGAGGGAGGAAATTCCAAGGAGGATGCTGGGAAAACTTGTCTGTCTGTTCATGAAGCACGGATGGGGTGGAGGTTGGTGGGGATCATTGCAAATTCAGCCGCCAGTTATCATTTCTCATTCAAAACCCCATGTGTGGGGTTACCACTGAGTGGGGACAAATCCCTCCCCCAGGCATTGGGCATAGAGAAGTGGCAGGAGAATTCCTTCTCCACTGAAGTCTTTAGTTAGTGCCCAACTTTTTTTCTTTTTCTTTTTTTCCCCTTTTTTCCCACCGTGCTTTGTTTTTGATGCTAGCTGGGAAAGTGGGGACTGAAGTAGTGACTGAAGTCCCTTTATCAAACCCTCCGCTGGGTACTTTTGGTGACAGACTGACTGCTTGACCTCGTTTTATTTTCTGTATGGATGTCCAAATACATGTCTGACTCACCAGTATACCCAACCCTTGAAGACTTGTATGGCTAGTTGCAAGTGTCTAGTTTGTGTTCATCTCTTATTTCTGGAGCAGGGACTGAGACCTTAACACATGTCCTTTGCACCTCTGCCTCCTTTAGACTTTAAAGTTTGATTAATTAAAAATTTTTTTAAGGTAGTAAGCAGGTTAGACGTGATAATAACTTGAGAGAATTCATGAACAAGAAGGTAGATCTGAGAACACTGCCCAGAAGGCAGCAGAGAGAAAGAAATGGAAAATGAGAGAGAAGTTAAAAGATATGAAGGATCGAGTAAGGTTCCACACACACACACCCTTACACATAACACATACAGACATACATAGAAAATCTTAGAAGAGAATGGAGAATGGAAGGAGGCAGTAATCAAAAAGGTAATCGTTGAGAATTTTCCTGATGCGAAGACAAATACCTGAAACTTTGGGCTTAAAAAGCACAATTAGCCCCATTATGTATAAAATAAAACCTAGATGCATGGTAGTGAATGAGCAGAGCACAATTTTTTTAAAAAGTCTTGAGAGTAACCAGAGAGAAAATACAGATAACCTACAAAGGAGGACATGTATACTGAGGGCTACAGTAGACGCTAGAGTACCATGAAACAGTATCTTGAAAGTGCTGAAAGAAAACCAACCTAGAATTCTACACCCATCTAAACTATCATGCAAGAGTGATAGCAATTAAGAAAGTGAGGTATTAGCGCAGGACTAGACAGACCATGGAATAGAGTGTAGAATCCAGAGACAGAACTGTACTTCTGTGGAAAGGATGGATTGTTCATTAAACGATATTGGGGCCATTGGCTGATACAGAACAGAAATAACAGTCATCCCTTCTTTTACCCAACCAAATAAATTCCTCAACAATTCCCAGATGTGGCAAACAAAACAAATTTATATTTTAAAAAGGAAAAGAAAAATACTTATGACCTTAGTGTCTGGAAAAATTACTGAAGACATAAAATCCACCTACCATAAAGTAAAAGATAGATGAATTGAAATACAGTGAAATAAAAACGTCTGTAAATCAAGGTATCATAAACAAGGTGAAAACACAAACCACAAATTGAGAAAAGGTATTTGTAACTCATAAAACCAATAAAGGATTGGCATCCAAAATCTATTAAGAACTGCTACAAGTAAGATAAAGCATCAGTTCCTTGCAGAAGAGGGGTCTTAAGTAGTCTGCAAAGAAAACAAAGTTTCTCACACTTTTTAGTGACTCTGAAAATGTAAATGAATCTACAGAACATGACTTACACCCATCAAATCGACAAAAGTTAATGTCTGATAATACCAGTTGCTAGTGACCATGTACTGCAGTGGGAACCTTCATACAAAGCTGTTGGGAAACTCAGTTGGCACAGTCCCTTTGAAAAGCAATTTGTTGATACCTATGAAGACTGAAGTTGCCTATTCCCTATGCACTTCTACCGCTAGCTATATATCCTAATAGGTGTACTTCCTCTTTTTTTTTGTGCCCCAGAAGGCTAGTGAAGGCTAGAAAAATGTTTTAAGTCCATATAGTAAAATACATAGGATTATATTGGAAACAAATTATATTAAAATAGTTATCAAAACTTTTAAATTTGTGATATAGTATGCATTTTTAATGTATATTAATAAGATCTACTGGAAGATCTAATAGCTATCATAATTTCAAAGTAATGCCTAGTGTGGTATTTTGAGATAATCTGCAACCACTGTTACGTGATATGAAAATACCTAGGTCTGTTGGTGACAAATCACAGGTACTGCTGAATGCTATTAGGTACATATATTCATTCAAGGAAATATTAAGTTTCAATTCAAGATTAATGAAAAATAAAGATATATTTGTTTTCACACATGTTCACAAGCCTGCCTTAAAGGGGTTTATAGACTCCAAGATAAGAGCCTGCATCCTAGAGATTAACACTGCAAAACCTTTGCCATATTGTAATAGCAAAAAAATGGGGAAGCGCCTGAAGATTGATCAGTAGGAGATTTTATATAAATTGTGGTATATTCAGTCAGTGGATAACTGCATAGCAGTGATAATGAATGGAGTTACAGTAATATGGTAGATATCTTGTGATGTCTCCTTGTACCATCATGGGTGAGCTCAAACAATGTTGAGTGGAAGATAGCCACCTTCCAAATAGTACATGCTCTATAACTTCTTTTTATGAAATCTTAACATTTCACCTAAAGTGTAAAAACCCATATGGGAACGGTATATCTTATCAGGGTAGTGGTTGTTATTCAAGGGTGAGGAGTAGTGATGGGAAAGGCCATCTAGTTACATAGGAAGGTTTAAATTATGTCTTTAATGTTTAATTATTTAACTGTATCAGAGACACATTATGTTATTGTATGCCTGGACTATTTCGTTAAAATACGTATTATGTGCTTTGATAGAATATTATATGACAGTTTCAATTTTAATTTACAGGACAGTACAGAGTTTGTGTGTATGGTGCTCTGTTAAGGGAAGAACAGATTAAGTGCTTTTCTCCAGTTATCTCAGATAAGAAGTGAATTAACTTATGAAGTGCCAGGCACTTTAAATAAATCTACCTAGTAGACTAAATTAAATTAAATCTACCTAGTAGATTATTTAATTCTTACAAGAGTCCTATGAGGTGAAGGTATACACAGTCATCCCTCAATATCCCGGGGGGTGGTGGGAATTGGTTCCAGGACCCCACCCTCCACCCCTGTGGGTGCTCAAGTCCCTTTTATAAAGTGGCACAGTATTTGCATATCTTCCCATATACTTTTTTTTTCTTATAATTTTTTTTTTTTTTACGCGCAGGCTCAGCGGCCATGGCTCACGGGCCCAGCCGCTCCGCGGCATGTGGGATCTTCCCGGACCGGGGCACGAACCCGTGTCCCCTGCATCGGCAGGCGGACTCTCAACCGCTGTGCCACCAGGGAAGCCCCCCATATACTTTTAAATCATCTCTAGATTACGTATAATAGCTAATATAATGTAAATGCTATGTAAATAGTAGCCAGCATGTGGGCAAACTATTCAAGTTTTGCTTTTTGGAATTTTCTGATCCCCCCCCAACACCCCCCTCCCCCCCATTTTTTACTTGCAGTTGGCTGAATCTGGGTATGCGAACTCATGAATACGGAGGACTTGACTTTATTCATGAAGGAAATTTTAGTTGAAGCAAAGATAGAATTTATATTTAGATCTCACCACTTCCAAAACCCATACTTGTTCCATTATTAAATTGCATATCTCTGTCAATAGGTGACTTATTTTGGAAGTGGTAATTTAACTGCACCTAAAAAATGTGTATCTGAAGCACATATTAACAGTAAAAATACTAAAATAATCTCAAGCATGACTTTATTTTATTAAGTAATTGATTTATTTGTTTTTTGGCTGCATTAGGTCTTCATTGCTGCACACAGGCTTTCTCTAGTTGTGGTGAGCAGGGGCTGCTCTTTGTTGTGGTGCGTGTGCTTCTCAGGGCTTCTCATTGCAGTGGCTTCTCTTGTTGCAGAGCACGGGCTCCAGGTGTGCAGGCTTCAGTAGTGGTGGCCTGCGGGCTAGTAGCTGTGGCGCACAGGCTTAGTTGCTCCACAGCATGTGGGATCTTCCCAGACCAGGGCTCGAACCCATGTCCCCTGCATTGGCAGGTGGATTCTTAACCACTACGGCACCAGGGAAATCCCTCAAGCATGACTCTTTTTTTTCCCCCCTTTGTTTTTTTTGGCGGTACGCGGGCCTCTCACTGTTGCGCCCTCTCCCGTTGAGGAGCACAGGCTCCGGACACGCAGGCTCAGCAGCCATGGCTCACAGGCCCAGCCACTCCGTGGCATGTGGGATCTTCCCGGACTGGGGCACGAACCCATGTCCCCTGCATCGGCAGGCGGACTCTCAGCCACTGCGCCACCAGGGAAGCCCTCAAGCATGACTTTATAATCAAGAGTTTTCTTAAATACACTTTAGCCTGTTCTCACACTCATATAACAGGCTGATGAAATTATTAATTATTAGTAACTTCAGTGTTAGATTTTTTTTTTAACAGTATTGGTCATTATAATTTAGTACATGTTTAGCATCTAAGTCTAACTATGTGACTTGATGTTTTATTATCTTAAAAGCATATTCTGTTTGTTTTTTCCTTTGTTTTTGTTTTAGGTGTACAGCACAGTGATTCAGTTATACATATACATGTATCTATTCTTTTTCAAATTCTTTTCCCTTTTAGATTATTACACAATATTGAGCAAGAGTTCCCTGTGCTGTACAGTAGGTCCTTGTTGGTTATCTGTCTTAAATATAGTAGTGTGTACATGTCAATCCCAAACTCCCAATCTTGAACTGTATTCTGTCTTGCTTTTTGATTTTAGGATCGAAAGTTAACAAAGTCTGAGAGGCAGAGATTTAAAGAAGAGGCTGAAATGTTAAAGGGTCTTCAGCATCCCAATATTGTCCGATTCTATGATTCCTGGGAATCCACAGTAAAGGGAAAGAAGTGCATCGTTTTGGTGACTGAACTTATGACATCTGGAACACTTAAAACGTAAGTTCATCAATATTGTAAAAGCTGACCAAGAAGTATGAGAGAACTTGAATTTTCTTATTTCAGGCCTTATCAGTTCTTCTGTTGTTGCCCAGTATACTAAGGAGGGAATGAATAGTTGCTCCAAATGTTAGTATATGAGCACATTTTCCTGTCCACAAGGTCCTCTGGTGTATAAAGTGGTTTGATAATTATGTATTGGTAAGTATTTAAATGAGAAGTTGTTGCAGAATAAACCTAGTTGCTTTAAGTTATGGTGATTGGCATTTCTAAAATTGAGTGGCTAAGAGATCAGAAATCATGACAAGGTAGCCCTCTAGTGGTTAAAATGAAATTGAAGCTTATTGACAAGCTTTACCCATTTATTTTATCACCTCATATTGGGCAGTTTTTGCTACAAGTATGCACATATTGTATCAAATGCAAATTGTATTGTGACATTTATCACTAGATAATTTCATTTCCCAAAGCATCAGAAATTGAAGCCCAAACATCTAGACCTCATCCCTTTCAGGAATATGAATAGGTCAAATGCAGAAATTCCCTGTATGCCTTTGGAGTCCCATGTCTCTTAAAGTATCTATTTGTACTCAGATAGGAAACTAGAGTAACTTTTATGGTGTAAATTTTTTGTGGAAGAATTTGATTGTGAAAAATTGTCTCTGTAGTGTGTATTTATTCTTTATAACCTTCTGTAGTTAATGCTACTGAGCTGATTAATCTCAGATCTTTGAAACATAGTCTTGTATTTCCTGGATGTAGAAAATCCCGGATGCTCTTGGATGCTCAAAATTAACATGTTGAAAAGCCAACAGATTATTTCCCTCCTCCACATTCTAATTTTCCCATCCAACTTTTCTAATATTTATGGCAGCATCTTTATGCTAGTTGTCCACGCTTCTTGTTATTCACATGCCTGTTTCTTTTCCTAGACTGTGCTCTCTAGCACTGTGCCTGAAACTTGATAAATATTTAAATGAATTAAGGAAAATTCTGTGGTAGTAGTTGTTTGTATATCTGCATCTTGAGATTCTTTTTCTGGTTTGAATGCTTAGTGGGTTGTCAGTATGTCAGTAGATAGAAATAAAGTTAGTTTTTTAAAAAAATTTTTGATGAAATTCATATAACATAAAATTAACCTTTTTAAAGTGTACAGTTCAGTGACATTTATTACATTTACAATGTTGTGTGACCACATCTGTCAAGTTCGTAACATTTTCATCACCTTAAAATAACACAACACACCCATTAAGCAGTTACTCCCCATTACCCTTCCCACTTAGTATATTTTCTCATTAATTGCACATGATCTAAGTTTCTAACCATTTTCTTTTAAGTTTAAAGTTCTTTTTTCCCCATCATTATCTGTTTCAGTTTCTGAGCCTCAAAGCAAAAGCAGCAAGAGGTAAAGTAGAAAGCACTAGACTTAGAGTAGGAGTCTGCTCTCTGCTCTGACTTTGACCAGCTGTGATTTAGGGCAAGTAGATCCCCTTTTCTGGCCCTCAGTTCTCCATGTGTGAAATAAGTGCACTAGCTGATCTCTAGGATTTATAGATGGGCATTTTTTTTTTTACTCTGGTAAAAACATATAAAATTTACCATCTTAATCATTTTTTAAAAATTTATTTTTTCTTATTTTTGGCTGTGTTGGGTCTTTGTTGCTGCGTGCAGGCTTTCTCTAGTTGTGGCGAGTGAGGGCTACTCTTCTTTGCGGTGCACGGACTTCTCATTGCCGTGGCTTCTCTTGTTGCAGAGCACCAGCTCTAGGCGCGCGGGCTTCAGTAGCTGTGGCACGCAGGCTCAGTAGTTGTGGCACACGGGCTTAGTTGCTCCGCAGCATGTGGGATCATCCCAGACCAGGGCTCGAACCCGTGTCCCCTGCATTGGCAGGCGGATTCTTAACCATTGTGCCACCAGGGAAGCCCTTAATCATTTTTAAATATATAGTTTAGTTAAATATATTCATGTTGCTGTGTAACCAATCTTGAGAATTCTTCATCTTGCAAAACTAAAACCCATTAAACAATTCCCGTTTCTTCCTTTGCCCCAGCCTTTGGCAACCACCAACTATTTTCTGTCTCTAAGGATTTATCTGATCAAGGTGTTTCATATAAATGGAATATAAAATACGTGTTTGTGTTTGGCTACTTTCACTTACCATGTTTTCAAGGTTCATGTTGTAGCATGTATCAGTACTTCATTCCTTTTTATGACTAAATAATATTTCGTGGATATACCACAATTTGTTTATCCACTCACTTATTGATAGACATTTGGGCTGTTGCCACCATGAACATTTGTGTACAAGTGCTTATTTGAGTACCCGTTTTCATGCCTTTTAGATACATGTATACCTTTGAGTAGAATTGCTGAGTCATATGGTAATTCTGTGTTTAACTTTTTGAGGAACCACCAAACTGTTTTCCACAATGGCTGAACCATTTACATTCCCACTAGCAATGTATAAGGGTTCCAATTTTTCCATATTCTTGCCAACACTTGGTTTTTTTGTTTGTTTGGTTTTGGTTTTTTAATAGCCATCTTGCTGGCTGTGACATGGTATCTCATTTGATTTGCATTTCCCTAGAGAGTAATGATGTTGAGCATCTTATCATGTGCATGTTATACATCTTTGGAGAAATGTTTATTCAACTCTTTGCCCACTTTGTCCATTTTTAAATTGGGTTGTTTGTCTTTTTGTTGAGTTGTAAGAGTTCTTTATATATTCTGTAAGCTAAACCCTTATCAGGTACATGATTTGCAAATATATATTTCCCATTCTATCTATATATTCTTTTCACTCCTTAATGATGTCATGTGATGCACAAAGTTTTAAATTTTGATTAAGTCCAGTTTATCTGTTTTTTTTCCCTAGTTGCTTGTGCCTTTAGGGTTATATCTAAAAATCCATTGCCAAAACCAAGGCCATGCAGATTTACCCCTAACTTTTCTTCTAAGAGTTTTATAGGCTTAGCTCTTTCATTTAGATCGTTCCATTTTTTGAGTTAACATTTGTGTATGTGTGAGGTGTGGGATCCAACTCCATTCTGTTGCATGTGGATATCCAGTTGTCCCAGCACCATTTGTTGAAGAGACTATTCTTTCCCTGTTGAATGATCTTGACACCCCTGTCAAAAATCATTTAACCATAGATGCATGGGTTTATTTCTGGACCCTCCATACTATTCCACTGTTCTATGTATCTGTCCTTATGCTAGTACCACAATGTTTTCATACTACAAAACCTAGCTTTGTGATATGTTTTGAAATTGGAAAAAGTGAGTTCTCCAATTTTGTTCTTCTTTTTTGATATTGTTTTGGCTATTTGGGGCCCCTTGTAATTCCGTATGAACCTGAGGATTAGCTTTCCATTTCTGCAAAAAGGCTGTTAGAATTTTGATTGCATATGTAGATATAATCAAATCTGTCTGTAGATACATCGAATCTGTGGGTCACTTTGGCTAATATTGCCATCTTCACTATATTGTTTTCCAATCCATGAACCCATCTCTCCATTTTATTTAGGTGTCCTTTAATTTCTTTCAACAGTGTTTTCTAGTTTTTGGTGTATAAATCTTGCACTTCCTTGGTTAAATTTATTCCTAAGTATTTTATTCTTTTGGATGCTGTTGCAAATGGAATTGTTTTCTTGCTTTCCTTTTCAGGTTGTTAATTGTTGGGGTGTACAACACAACTCATTTGTGTGTGTTGATCTTGTACTCTGGCAATTTTGCTGAATTCGTTTATTAACTCTAGTTGTGTGTGCATGTCTGTATGTATTCTTTAGAATTTTCTATATATAGGATCTTGTTATCTGCAAATAGAGGGAGTTTTACTTCTTCCTTTCCAATTTGGGTACCTTTCTTTTTCTTGCCTAATTAATCTGGCTAGAGTTTCTAGTACAACACTGAAGAGCAGTGGTTATTCTTGTCTTATTCCCAGTCTTAATGGGAAAGCCTTCAGTGTTTCACCACTGTTGTATAGCTGTGGGTTTTTCATAAATGCTCTTTGTCATGTTGAATATATTCTCTACTATTCTTAGTTTGAGTATTTTTTTTTTTTTATCATGGAAAGGTGTTGGATTTTGTCTGATGCCTTTTCTGCATGAATTGAAATGATCATGTTGTTTCCCCCTTTGTCCTATTAATGTGATACCTCACTCATGTAATCGAAACTGTTAAGATATAGAACATTTCCATCATCTCAATACATGCCCTTAAACCTCTTCCTAGGCAGCCCTTTCCGGGCAGCCCTTTCCTCACCCTCCAGAAGTAACTCTGTTTTTATATATATTTTTTAAACCATAAAACCAACTTTCACCATTAGTTTTCTGTAATTACCTCATATCCCACCCAAGTGAAGCAGAATTTCATTTTTAAATTTATTTTTAAGATTTTGTATTAGTTTCTGTATTAGCTTTTTGGTTAAACTCCACTTGTGTGTGTGTGTGTGTGTGTGTGTGTGCATTTGAAATATCTTTTTTAGTGGCTGCTTTAGATACTGCATTTATATCTTTAACTTTTCACAACATGCTTGATACTGTACAATTTCATGTAAAATAAAGGAAACTTGCAAAAATATAGGCCCGTGTATTGCTAGTATTTATACTTTATGCTGTAATTTTCATATGTTACATTTATTGTTTAGATCCTGTAATACAATGTTATAGATTTTCCTTTAAGTAGTCATATGTAACATAAAGATAGTAATAGGAAAATGTAGTCTTTTATATTTACCATCAGTGCTCTTCATTTTTTCCCTGAATATTTCCAGATGAAATAGCATCAGAACTCAGTTAATCAGAAATCTCTGTCCTGTTCTTTCAGCATTAGCTGGGCTGCTTGGACTCTGCTACACACACACACATATTTCAGAGGTCAGCCAGAGATTTAGGCGGAGTGAATATACAGAATTTGGAGATGCCCTTCTATACCTCCTTTTTTTTTTTTTTTTTAAGTAAATTCTTTGCAGGGCAGACGTTTTTTATGAGGGGATCTCATTATTGGCTAAAATCATGGGAGTATAACTTTGTTTTCAAAAACTTGGCAGGACTGAAAAGAAGCAGGATTAATGCCTCTATTTTTAAAAAGCAAAAGGGAAGTTCATAATGTCCTAATCTGGAACTTTACCTGAAAAAGAATCACCAAATCATTTCTAGAATAATCTGTAGTGAATACAGTGTTGGGAACCTATCTCACTTGACAGAATAAGTCCTGTCAAACTGATTCATTTCCTTCCATGAAAGAGTAACAAGATTTTAGTAGATTGAGGGGAAATGATAAATGTAACCTATATTTTATTTAGCAAGATGCTCGAACCTGTTCCATCCAACATCTTGGTCGATAAATTCAGAAGGTTTGGGGATTGCATTAGATGTCCAGCCCATGTCCCCTGCATCGGCAGGCGGACTCTCAACCACTGCACCACCAGGGAAGCCCTATACCTCCTTTTTAAAAAAAAATTTTATTTATCTTTTGGCTGCGTTGGGTCTTCATTGCTGCACGTGGGCTTTCTCTAGTTGCGGCGAGCGGGGGCTACTCTTTGTTGCGGTGCACGGACTTCTCATTGCAGTGGCTTCTCTTGTTGTGGAGCACCTGCCGTAGACACTCGGGCTTCAGTAGTTACGGTGCGTGGGCTCAGTAGTTGCGGCTCACTGGCTCTAGAGCACAGGCTCAGTAGTTGTGGCGCATGGGCTTAGTTGCTCGCGGCATGTGGGATCTTCCCGGACCAGGGCTTGAACTGTGTCCCCTCCATTGGCAGGCGGATTCTTAACCACTGTGCCACCAGGGAAGCCCCTGTACCTCCTTTCTGGGATTACACACCACCCCCACCCTCCAACCCCCTACCCTGCCTCCTTTACTTTTTAGATCTCTGCTGTCCAACAGAACTTTCTGTGGTGATGGAAATGTTCTGTAATCTGCACCATCCAAAACGGTAGCTACTTGCTACAATGCAGTTGTTGAGCACTTGAAATGTGACTAGTACAACTGGGAAATGAAAATTTTTTATTTTAATTAATTCATTTACATATGAATATTCTTGGGCTTCCCTGGTGGTGCAGTGGTTGAGAGTCTGCCTGCCGATGCAGGGGACACGGGTTCATGCCCCGGTCCGGGAAGATCCCACATGCCGCGGAGCGGCTGGGCCCGTGAGCCATGGCCGCTGAGCCTGTGCGTCCAGAGCCTGTGCTCCGCAATGGGAGAGGCCCGCATACCGGAAAAAAAAAAAAAAAAGAAGAATGTTCTTATTTGTCTAGTGAATATTGTATTGGACAGACTGTCATTGTAGAAAGTTCTGTTGAATAGCATTGTTCTAGACCCTGAGGTAATCTTGAACTCTATCCTCGTATTCATTCCTCAGCCATTAATGCTCCAGGTTTCAGTCCAGGTTTGAGCGACCCCCACAGACTAGTGCTTTCCCTTTTCCCTCGTGTGTACTCCCTTCCAGTTTATGCCTGATTTTGATTCCTCCAGAGCTTTCTAGTAGTTGTGTGTGTGTGTATTTACTAGAGTTTATAATTATATCTGCATCCAATAAGAGTTGCTTCACCATTACCAGAAGTCGAACTCTGCCTCTTAACTTTTAAATCATTTTAGCAGTGATCTAATTTTAAGGAATTTATTTTTTGTGCTTTGTTATCAGAATTTGCTTGCCAACTACTTATTATCCTATCCCCTTTAACCTTACTAAAAGTAGCACTAACCTAAGCTTACTGAATCTTAATATTCTGAACTTGATATTCCCATCTCAGATATGCTAGAATTTAATGGAATTCTTCAAAGTAATAAATGCATATCATTGATAACCTGTTTGGTGTACCTTGCCTTTTCTAGGTACCTGAAAAGGTTTAAGGTGATGAAGATCAAAGTTCTGAGAAGCTGGTGCCGTCAGATTCTTAAAGGACTTCAGTTTCTTCATACTCGAACTCCACCTATTATTCACCGGGATCTTAAGTGTGACAACATCTTTATCACTGGCCCTACAGGCTCAGTCAAGATTGGAGACCTAGGTCTGGCAACCCTGAAGCGGGCTTCTTTTGCCAAGAGTGTGATAGGTATGTTTCAGGTGTACCTTGCAGTCTCACTGGCTTTCTGACATTCCTTTTATTTAGAAACCTGACCTTGTCAGAGCTTTTATTATGTGAAATAAACCTTCAGAAATTCAGAGCTTGAACCCAGGAAGTGATGTGGAGTTCTCTGTTTCTTTGCCTCTAGAATCATCTTGAAGGCCATTGTTTTGTAAAATTATATGAAGAGAAGTAAGGTGAACTTTGCCGACAAAACATTATGTAATATTTGTTAACCTTACTGAGTCATGTCATTGATACTTAGTATCATATACTTATTTATATAACAGATAAAGTATGTTACTTTCCCCGTAAAAGAAATTGAATTTATATATAATTTAGTTTCTGAAGAAGTCTGTTGGATATATGCATATTCAAAAATATCTGCCTGTTAAAACTTTATTTTAAAATGTGAAAATATGATGGTTCATTGTCAACTTTTTTTTACTCCTACTCTTCAGAAGATATACCTGAAACAGTTTTTAGCCTCAGTACTATTGACATTTCGGGTTGGCCAGCTCTTTGCTGTAAGGACTGACCTGTTCACTGTAAGATGATTTAGCAGCATCTCTGGTCCTACTCACTGGATGCCAGTAGCATGCCCCCTTGCCCACTTTCCCCTAGTTGTTACAACCAAAAATGTCTCTGGACATTGCTAGATGTCCCCTATAGGGCAAATCGTCATTCTTGAGAATCACTGATCTATACAACAAGTCTGTCCTTTCAGCCTTTAACTGTAATGTTAGAGAGTTGTAGCTGGAAAAATAATTTAATGCTGATTATTTTATAAGCTTTCACTTTCTGAAGAGGGTATGACAGTTTGAAAACTTGAAATCTTCACAAACACTCTACTCTCCCCAAAGGTGATGACAATAACAACAGCAAGAAAGCCATTCTTTTTTTTTTTTTTTTTTTTTTTTTTTTTTTTTTTTGTGGTACGCGGGCCTCTCACTGTTGTGGCCTCTCCCGTTGCGGAGCACAGGCTCCGGACGCGCAGGCTTAGCGGCCATGGCTCATGGGCCCAGCCACTCCGCGGCATGTGGGATCCTCCCGGACCGGGGCACGAACCCGTGTCCCCTGCATCAGCAGGTGGACTCTCAACCACTGCGCCACCAGGGAAGCCCAAGCCATTCATTTTTAAGTGGGCTAGAATCCTATGTTTTAATAAGAAAAACAGTGAACACCAGTAATTTGCACATCCTTACAAAATAGTGTTCCTGGGAAGAGTTATTTTAAAGATGAATTTCCTTTTTGCCCTCCTTATAGGAAACAGTTCTTTGATTGTCTTTGACATCTTAATCTCTGTCCCAAGAGGGTTTTTTCTTATTTCTTTTTTTGTTTAAACCATAGTGTGCAAGCCTGTTCTTAGAAATGTTCTATAATTTGAGGTATTTGGGCTTAATTTCTTTGGAAACATTGGAAACCTGGTGTGTGGAATCATACACTCACTCTATGCTCATTATTCAGTCTGAGAACTCAAGTGCAGACCGAATTATTTGTGTGTGTGTCTGTAGGATGTGCCTCACTACACTTCTTACATCTGCAGTAGGTTTGTGTACTGCAGGTGGGGTGAAGTGTGTGAAGAAAAGGGCTCTGGTGAGTGGCCTTTATAGACAATTACAGTTTATTTTATCCTTTTTAAAATGTATTGAATATCAGTGTTTTTTTACTGAAAAGCCGCCTTAAAAGTGAAACTGATCAGATGGAATGTTAATGGAAAGAGACTAGCTATTATATGAATGTTAACCTTACAGCTACCATACAGTAGGGGGCAGACAAGTATTTTGATCTTTTTTAACCCATCATCCTATCTTACAGGTAGATGCCATTATATCTACTTTATCCCTTGGTAGTCTCTTACCTTTTCCTTCCGTTTGTTTTCAATATGAGTTATATCATTTTATCTTTTATGCAAGGCTCTATTTTGACATTGTATAACACTAATCCATTTGAAACAGTAACTAAATAGACACTTGATCCTGTGCCAGTTTTTTATAAAGGAGTTGTAGTGTAAGATCTATAACATATTTGATGGAACAGACTAAGATGATGTCTTTCCTCTCCCCCCACCACCTACCTACCTTTCTTTCTTTTTCCTCCCTCACCTCTTACCCCTCTTCCACTTTCTTCTCTCTCACAGGTCAACCCCTCTGCTGTTGCCCTCCCCATGAATCTCAGCTTCTCCTCACACTGAGTCTGAATCATTCTTTTAATTTAAGGTACCCCAGAGTTCATGGCCCCTGAGATGTATGAGGAGAAATATGATGAATCCGTTGACGTTTATGCTTTTGGGATGTGCATGCTTGAGATGGCCACATCTGAATACCCTTACTCCGAGTGCCAAAATGCTGCACAGATCTACCGTCGAGTGACCAGTGTAAGTCTTGTCCTAACTGACTGGTGATCTTAGGCCACATCTAAGAAGCTGTATAACATCAAACAAACCATGCAAAAGGGAACAACACTAGAAAGCATCACATGGAGTTCACTGCTCATCTGTCAGTGTCTCGTGTCTCCTCTTCATATAAGGACTGGTCAGATTGAGCTGTGGCCACCCAGCTCCAGGTTGACCTCATTCTAACTAATTATACCTGCAGCGATCCTGTTTCCAAATAAGGTCACATTCTGAGAAACTGAGGATCAGAATTTTAACATATCTTTTGTGGGGGGGCGGGCAGGGGATGCAGTTCAACCCGTAACAGTTCATGGGTTCATCCAACAAATATTTAAGTCTCTATTATGTTCCAGACTTCTTCCTAGATCCTAGGTATTGAATATTATAGTTAAGTAAAACACAAACCTGTCTCTCAAGAGCTTATTACTAGGCAAAGGAGAACAAACAAGTAAACCAGACAGTTACCATAGTGTATAAAAGCAGTTATTCTAGGGATAGGTATGTAACAGAAGCACATAGAAGTAGTGCCTAATTGAGTTTGGACAGGTTAGGAAAATTATGTTAAATAAACAGGGAAAGACTAAGATAGAGTTGCATGTGAAAAATCTTCGTATGTCTACAGTTTGAAAACAGGAAAAAGAAGAGACAAGGGATAAGGGAGGAAAGTGAAAGTTTAGACTATATTTGAGCACTGGGGAACCATTGCAGCCACTATAAGACTTGGTAGGTGTCGTGGGAATTCCCTGGCGGTCCAGTGGTTAGGACTCCGTGCCTTCACTGCCAAGGGCCTGAGTTCAATCCCTGATCGGGGAGCTAAGATCCCACAGGCCACGAGGTGCAGCCCCCGCTCCCCCCCCCCCCAAAAAAAAAAAACACTTGGTAGGTGTCATAAGATCAGACTTAAATTTTTAAAAGATTCTTCTGGCTGCAGAGTGGAGGATGGATTTATGAGGAAACACTAGAAAGCTGAAAACCCAGTTAAGTGGCTATTGCACTAATCTGAAGGAATAACTGATAGACTGAAATAAGGAGTTAAAGTAGAGATGGCCAAAGTGGATGGACAAGAGATTGATTTTCTTTATGAATTTGAATTCAGTTAAGCTAACGTGTTCTTTTCCACCTAATATTTATGAAAACAAATAATAATGTGAAAATACCCTTTGTAAATACATATCTTCTTAAGGAGATCAAACTGAATATTAAACCTGATTAAGAGGTTAAATACATTAAATTTTAGGACTATAAAATTTACAATTTGTATGTAAAATGGTTTGTGTAATTTATTTACTAACTTACTGTCTATAACGTCTTCACTCCATCACACTCTAAACCAGGGATTAGCAAACTATGATCCATGGGCCAAATCCAGCCTCCTACCCATTCTTGTACAGCCCATGAGTTAAGAATTCTTTTTACACTCCTAAATGGTTGAGGGGGAAACCAAAAGAAGAATAATATGTTCTTTTGAAACCTATGAAAATTATATGAAATTCAAATTTCAGTGTCCATGAAGAAAGTAATGACACAGCCACTTATTTGTTTCTGTATTATCTATGTCTGTTTTCACATATTACAATGGCAGAGTTGAGTAATTGCAACAGGCTCTGTGGTTCAAAAATCCTAAATTATGTACTGTTTGGCTCTTAACGGAGAATGTTGCTGATTCCGATTCTAAACACATGACATCAGAAAGAGAAAAATATCGTATATTAACACATATATGTGGAACCTAGAAAAATGGCACAGATGAACCAGTTTGCAGGACAGAAATAGAGACACAGATGTAGAGAGCAAACGTATGGACACCAAGCGGGGAAAGTGGCAGGGTGGGGTGGGATGAATTGGGAGATTGGGATTGACATATATACACTAATATGTATAAAATGGACAACTAATAAGAACCTACTGTATAAAAAAATAAATAAAATTCAAAAATTCAAGAAAAAATCAGATTACACATGACACCAGAACTTCTTAAAAAATTCTCCTCTGAAGAGTTCTGTAACTAATTTCTAATCTGCAGAAGTGGTGATAATGTTCTACTAGAATGCTATTAGCCTCTGTACTTGGAGTAGGCAGGAGAATCTCAGTGTGAGCAAGTAGTTACTTAAATTATTAGCTCTGATAAAATAATTTGTGGGCAGTCTTTTCTCTCTCTTGAGAGTAGAACTATCACTTTAATTCTGTGGCGAAAACATAACAGGTTTTAATGTAACACCCATTTTTCACTGGCCATATTTATTCTTTCTATTGCCTAAGAATAAATAGCATCTTAAACCCAGTACTACTGCTTGCGGTGATCATTCTGGATTTTAAACACAAAGACTTATTAACAAATATCTTTCATTTACCTTCCAGCAGTACTGAATGTTTTGATAAGTGTATAGACCAGAAGAATGAAGTATCCATCAGATAGCCATATATTTAAACATTCTCTACTGTCTCTCAGCCACCAGCCTTCTTTGTGGGTCTTGCAATATTTCTACTTTGAAACTTGGTAGATTTTGTTATGAACCATCAGACAGTGCTTTGCTGTTAGAGACACTGCCTAGGCATTACCGGGTTGTCTAGTGATAGGTGTCTCTAATTAATCTTGTGAATTCCAATTCCTGACTATTCTCTAAACAAATAAAGGTTGGTACTTAAAATATCTCGAGGGATCATGGAATTTTAGTTTCTTTATGTAAAATGAAGTCTAAAAAATAACTCTGCTATTTAAAGAAATAAAGTTATAAATTATATGGTAGGACTGTTTTTTTTTTTAATGCAGAATTTATGGGTGACCTGTACTAAATTCTACCTTGTTCTATACCTTACCCACCAGATATGTTTAACTGGTTAAAAATAATGACTGTGTAGGTTAATGAGTAGGTTAAAATGAGTAGGAATGAGTAGGTTAAAAAATAGTGTAAACCCTATTGATTAAATCTACTCACCGGAGGCTCAGGGCTAAAAGCAGTGTTCTTTGGCTTCAGACTATCAGGCACAGCACTGCCATAAAATCAGATAAAAGTTTATATAAGCAATAATTTGATAAAAGTAAAGAAATTAATTTGATTTTTAAGATAATGCATTTGAGACACTGTCTAATCAACAAATGAATCTTTATTTGCAAATGCAAACTCCAGCTCAGTTGAGAAGAAAATCCCCTTCTCAAATGAAAAAAGTGTTTGGCGTTAGTTTAATAGACGCCAGAAAGACCAATATCACTGTTTCCATAGTCTTAGTGTACTATTTACCCTTTTTTCAGTTTGTCAATGGGTTGTGTTTTTTTTTTTTAAGATAAAGTTCACATACCATAAATTCTCCATTTAAATCATTTGAAGGTGTAAAATTCAGTGGGTTTTAGTGTATTTACAGTGTTCTGCAATCGTTACCACTAATGCCACTCCATCACCCCAAAAAAGAAACCCCACACCTGTTAGCAGTCACTCCACATTCCTCTTCCACCCAGCCCCTGGCAAGCACTAATCTACTTTCTGTCTTTATGGATTTGATTTGCCTGTTGTGGACATTTCATATGAATAGAATCATAAAATATATGGCCTTTTGTGTTACACTTTGTTTCTGTGTTATGCTTTGATTTAGTGTAACCATTTTTAAGGTTTATCCATGTTTTAGCATGAATCAGTACTTCAGTCCTTTTTGTAGCTGAATAATATTGCATTGTATGAATGTACCACATTTTTAATGTTCAACAGGTTTTATTTCTATTTCTGTAGTTTCTTCCTCCTTTTCTCATTGTTTAAACTGTTTGAACCTATAGCCACCCTCACCTCTGGAGAGGAATTGGGAACAGGAAGGATGAAATATACAGTGTTTTAAAAGGTATTGTCCTAGAGCCCGATTTATTAAATCTTTGTTTATAGTTTTGTGTTTGTAGCATAGCATATGGCACATTGTAGGCACTCAGTGATACTTTGAAGAATAAATGATTCAGTTAAAGGAATCCCACATATAGTCAAGTTAGACACTATGTCAGTCTGGGACAGTTGAGTTTACCCTGCAAAATAAGGTCACTTAGAAATACTAAATTATCCTAATAACGTGGAATTGAATAGTAGCAAGTAGAAACTGATACACTTTATATATGTACATATACAATATATTTTTGTAGAATGGGAAAAGCTATTTGGTACAACTAGAGCAGAAAACAATAACTTTAATAGAGTCAAAATTCCAGGACTAGAAAGGCATTTGAAAAAGTCATCTATTCACATGCTCTTCCATCAGTTCTCAAATCACTATTGAGATCTTTGCTGTGCAAAGTGCAGTCCCCACAACCAGCAGAACTGGCATCCTAGGACACTTGTTATTATAAAAATATAAAATTTTGGCTCCATCCCAGACGGATTGAGTCAAAACCAGCATTTTACAAGATCCAGAGATGATTTGTGTGTACATTAAAGTTTGAGAAGTGTGAGCTACAACAGTGATCACCTCAGGTCCCTTCCAGTTCTGTATACCTTATTTTTGGTTAAATTAAAAAAAAAAAGACTAAACATTGTATATCAAGCATTATTTGAATAAATTTTTGTTCCATTGTTCATGGAACCTTTTTACTAGCATTATAAGTAACCAAGTTGACTTAGAAATCTAACCCTATTTAATTGCATTTTTTTCTGCCTATTCAAGAGTTGCTTTTTAAAAACGCAAAATAGTAAGTCAAGCCGTGGAAAAGCTGGAATAAAAAGCTTGAGGAGTTAAGTCAGTTGGAACTTTTGGAACCCTTGGTCTCTGAGGATACTGCAGGCATTTACTTGTTCTTTGTTTTTCCTCTCAGCTGTGCAAACTGAGCTCTGTATTATCTACAGTCCGTTATTCTGTACTTCAGTTATTATATTCCTTATCTGGGAAACTCTGTCTTGGTTTCACTAACCTCCATTCCCATCTTCTGGCTTCCAATGAAGAGTAAAAAGGGCTATGTCCTTTTTTAATTTTCTAAAGTTTTTCTCATGTTTTGGGTGCTGAGATAAATGTGT